CTTCACGTGGGTTTCATATGCTGTAGGTATGATATACGGTTCACGTGTTTGATAAAGTAGACATCACGTGGGTTTCATATGTTGTAGGTATGATATAGCGTTCACGTGTTTGATAAAGTAGACATCACATGGGTTTCATATGCTGTAGGTAGGATATACGGTTCACGTGTTTGATAAAGGAGACATCATGTGGGTTTCATATGCTGTAGGTATGATATAGCGTTCAAGTGTTTGATAAAGTAGACATCACGTGGGTTTCACATGCTGTAGGAATGATATAGGGTTCACGTGTTTGATAAAGTAGACATCACTAGAGTTTCATATGCTGTATGTTTGATATAGGGTTCACGTGTTTGATAAAGTAGACATCACGTGGGTTTCATATGCTGTAGGTACGATATAGGTTCACGTGTTTGATGAAGTAGATATCACATGGGTTTCATATGCTGTAGGTATGATATAGGGTTCACGTGTTTGATAAAGTAGACATCACATGGGTTTCATATGCTGTAGGTATGATATAGGGTTCACGTGTTTGATAAAGTAGACATCACGTTGGTTTCATATGCTGTAGGTATGATATAGGGTTCACGTGTTTGATAAAGTAGACATCACTCGGTTTCATATGCTGTAGGTATGATATAGGGTTCACGTGTTTGATAATGTAGATATCACGTTGGTTCCATATGCTGTAGGTATGATATAGGGTTCACGTGTTTGATAAAGTAGGGGGCGGTGGGGTAGCCTAGTTGTTAAGTGGATTCATCCGCTTGTCACGCTGAAGACCCGTGTTCGATTCCCCACATGGGTACAATGTGTGAAGCCCATTTCTCGTGTCCCCTGCGATGATATTGCTCGAATATTGCTAAAAGCGTCGTAAAGACGTACTCACTCAATTGATAAAGAAGATATTGCGTGGAATTCCGGCGTTGGTGGAAACAGAAGGTAAAATGTTGAGAAAGAGGGTTCGCATTGGGTTCGCATGTTGGAAATTGCAGATATCACGTAGGGCCTACCGTTAGCTAAAGTTGATATAAGGTTCACGTGATAGAAACACAAGACATCACTTGATTTCACGTTTGACATAGTAGGTATCACGTGTTTATCATGGTTCATATTGTGCAGGTTTATTTCAGTAGGTCTGTTTACGTCACACTTGGTTGATTATACACAGGGAAAAAAGTATCACAACACACAATCATTTCCTAATATCAGTTTATTACTTACCATCTTGTAATGCCGCAGTGTTATTTATTGTGTAACAATGTTCTCAGTGGATATTCAGTGGTGTGCTGTATTTAGACCTCTACCAGATTTAGACACAAAGATCGGGCAGCTACTTAAGGGTACTACAACCTATGTGTGGTTGGAGAATCGTCTATTTCTTAGATATATACGGAGAGTTAACCCTTGCCTCTCATCTCACATCTCAAGTTACAAGAAGACCAGCGTTGAGAGCGATCATCATCATGCCTTGGGAACCATTCTGGAGAGTTCCTACAAGTTGGATTACTGTTGCTGAGAGGTAAATATCACCACCACCATTTGTATTGCTATAATCACTGTTCTTGTAATATACTGCTTTTAAATTTGTACTGGCACTCTAATTTGTACTGGGGCGGTGGGTTAGCCTAGTGGTTAAAACGGTCGCTCGTCACGTCGAAGGCCCCGGTTCGATTCCCCACATGGGTACAATGTGTGAAGCCCATTTCTGGTGTCCCCCTCCGTGATATTGCTGGAACATTGCTAAAAGCGGCGTAAAAGTAGTCGCTCACTCACTCTAATTTGTACTGTCATTGTGATACCTTTGTAGTGTTTTCTGAACTTAATTAATTTTAGAATACAATTGTGAATTATATCACATAGCTTTGTTTGTTAGTTTCACATCTAGTTCTTTTACGGACTGATTCTCGGTTAACTATTTCGTTTCAGTTTGGGAATCAACTCATAACAATCTGGATACATTGACCCTCAAGGAAAAATTACACGGCAAATCAGAACACAAAATAGAATTATTCAGAGGAGCAAACATGGCAAAATATTGACTCATTTTGTAGTGCTGATAACTATGGTCGTATGACGTTTACAAATGCGGTCGTATACAAGATCCCGCATACAATCATAAGAAAATGTGAATAACCGAGCACAGTACCTACATCTGGTGTAACTCCCGCCAACTGCAGTAACATCCCTGATCCTCCTCCTCATTGACTGTATCAGACGTCGAGGTATTGCGTTTCAATCTTGATGGGGGGCTTCTTCCAAAACACAATGATTTGTACTGGAGAATTTGGCGTACTCTGCGACCCATGATGTACCAAACATGCTCTTTGGGACTGAGATCTGGACTCCTGGTGGGGCAAGGTAGAGTTGCTATTGCCTCTAGATGTAAGACGTCACCAGCGACACATGCAGGGTGAAGCCTAGGATTGTCGGCCATGACGACCGGCCTTATGTTCAGAAGATGGTCTTCGATATGCGGTACAACAATCATGTCTAGGATGTCAGTGATGTACCGTAGTCCAGTCAGATTGTGTCTGATCGTCACAAGATCAAGTTTACAGTCATGTGAAAGGCATTTCTACACCACCAATGAACTCTCGCCAACCGGTGTTTGCTCCGAGATATTCCGTTGACAACGCACGTCTAGCTCTATACCTGGGCGATTTGGGGCGATTTGGGAACGTTCTGCTGGGTAAACGACGACATGGAAGACGCTATGTCTTTTGACACGCCACTTGATATGAGAGGGGGGAACTCTTGTTATTTTGAGAATGTCTGTATCCCCAAAAGAAGTTGTTACTCATGGTCGACCTGAAGGCTGTCGCTCCTTATCGTCATTAGTTTGCTGGTCAGTCGGTGGAAAACAACCATAGGCCATAGCCCTCGGTGCCATTTCAGCGTTCCACATACGAATGACTTGCCACTTTTAGCAGTTCTCTGTTGACGGGTCCAATATTTAATTATCAACGAAATCAATTGAAGGCTTCTAAATGCCCTTCAAAGACTCGAAATCAATTGAAATTCCAAGTTGACGAGCCGACAGCTTACTTTGCTTAATGACGGGTATACGTATTGCAGGTGATGCTGGCCCTGACTGTAGCACATGCATATTTAAATCAAAGTATGGTCCGCCGGAAGGGTAAACACAATCATACAAACAAGAATATAGATGCTACATCGCTATATGGAGGTTAACAGTCATAGATGTTGCGATACTAGTTTCCATTATTATATAGATCATCATGTAAGATTGTATTATAAAGACATCGAGTTTTATTATAAACGTCTCTCTCTCATTGGCCGAAAAATGTCTCAAGGCGACGTAAAATATATTTATGACCTGAAAGTGGTTTCTCCTGTCATCTGGCAACCGCATCAGAGACTTTAGGTATCCTCAATGAGGAATCAGCTCAGCCCTTTATCTCGTGCACCTGCAGTTGGACTATAATTATGTGTAGAATACAAAGAGTTTTCAAAAGTATGTACTCCATAAACAAATCTTTCTTTGTGCTTTCAATTTCCTTTGAAATATCTATTCCCCCAGTTTCGAGTCCCGGTTCATCTTAAAATATCTCTGCGTTATGCGTCCTTAAACACAACTCACAGCTGCTGTGAGTGTTAGGTGGTGGTTGGTGTTGATGCTTTGATGGCGGATTATCTATCTAGTGTAAAACATAGACATGGCGTACACCTTCAAACTTCACGTTAAGTCCACAATTTACAAATGGCTTTTTCTTACCTGGAAATGCATGATATACTTACCTATGGGAAGCTCTCTACAGATCAATGAAATGAAGCTGCAAATGATGTAACTTATTATATTTATATTATTGACATAGCTCACTGCTGTAACACAACCGCGTAACTAACGCGCGAGTGTAGCAGCTCAGAATCCCTTCAAAATGTCTGGACTGACTGACTGACTGAGTTTAGTTTAACGCCGCTTTTAGCAATATTCCAGCAATATCACGGCGGGGGGACACCATGATGTCAAAATGTCTGGACGACGGGAGCAAACGTAATATAGTACAACCGTGGACGCCTGTAGTTAACGTTGCTTCCATAATGGCATATATAGCTCATCTGGCTTCAAATAGGGTGCTGCACATTCAGAAAGTAATCTGCAGCTGTTTTCATACTAATACTGACACTTTGATAAACTCCGATAGAGACCATGTATATGTCGACTTATGTGCGTACTGGAAATTCCACATCGATGTAATGATGCGTTTTATTCTATTGTAATTCTTACAAATGATTTAAACCTTTAGATATTAATAAAAGATGATGCTTGCTCTCATAAACGTATCACACAAAGAAAGAAGATTGGCTCAGTATACTCAGAACCACCTTACACCATGAACTGCACCGTCAATGAAGGTAGCTCAAGCGCTTATCAATTCAGTGCTCCGTCCTAAAGACCAAATTGCTTAGTTATCATTAACATAATACTTTATTAGCGTATAACAATGAGAATTTAATGGTCATCCCCGAAGGTTATCCAGCGATGTCCTTGATGGAAGTTGACCGTGAGATTCTCATTGAAAATAGGTCACAATGACCTACTGATATCATAAGTCAAATTGTATAACCACCTAGTTATATTAACATACGATCACAGTTGGTCGAGTGAAGGTCAAGTGCACATGACCTTCACCGTAACCTTGAATTCACATTGATGTACGTCAAACTGAACTCATATGAACTATCAAGTTGATTGTCGTGTCATCTGTCATCTGTGCATACTTACTGATGATATTTACACAAGGCACCCCAACTTGTCACCTGACTGACAATCTGCTGTCAAACAGTTATACATTTAGTTGTAGTGACGACATAACAAAATACAGACCTACTGGAATTTTTAGGAAACTAAAGTATTACCTGGTAAGTTTCTATTTGTAAATCTATGCTATGATGTTAGTGAACCAATTCTATTGTCTTAGCGTACCCATCGTGTCATCTTAGTGAATCTGTTCTATGATCTCTGTCTCCAGGCGGCATCTGCTGGTTGTCCAGGAGCAGGAATGGACGGTGCAGACAGATGTACAGTGTGAACACATCACGTGACCAGTGCTGTAACCTCACCATACCGGCTGTAGCCCTCAGCTGGACGCCCCTCGACGTGGCCTCCCATATCCACACCATGCTATTCACCGGGGGTACGGCCCAGTGTCATGTCTGTCACAGTAAGTGGAGAGAGCCGGTCACAGAGACTATGGAGATCTGGTCACAGGGACTATAGAGATTAAGTCACAGGGACTATAGAGATTGGGTCACAGGGAGTATAGAGATTGGGTCACAGGGAGTATAGAGATTGGGTCACAGGGAGTATAGAAAGTCGGTCAAAGGGAGTATAGAGAGTCGGTCACAGGGAGTATAGAGAGTCGGCCACAGGGAGTATAGAGAATGGGTCACAGGGACTATAGAGAGTCGGTCACAGGAAGTATAGAGATTGGGTCACTGGGACTATAGCGAAATGGTCACTGGGGCTATAGAGATTGGGTCACAGGGACTATAGAGAGGGCTATAAAGATTGGGTCACAGCGACTATAGCGATTGGGTCACAGAGGCTATAGAGATTGGGTCACAGGGGCTCTAGAGATTGGGTCACAGGGACTATAGAGAGTCGGTCACAGGAAGAATAGAGATTGGGTCACTGGGACTATAGCCATATGGGTCACTGGGGCTATAGAGATTGGGTCACAGGGACTATAGAGATTGGGTCACAGGCAGTATAGAGATTGGGTCACAGGGGCTATAGAGATTGGGTCACAGGGAGCATAGAGATTGGGTCACAGGGGCTTTAGAGATTAAGTGACATGGACTATAGAGACTTAGTCACAGGAAGTATAGAGATTGGGTCACTGGGACTATAGCGATATGGTCACTGGGGCTATAGAGATTGGGTCACATTGACTATAGAGATTGGGTGACAGGGACTATAGAGATTGGGTCACAGGGGCTAGAGAGATTCGGTCACAGGGAGTATAGTGATTGGGTCACTGGGACTATAGAGCTTGGGTCACAGGGGCTAAATTTTTTATGGTTGTATGGAACGGTTATATACGAATTTTAATTATGTCGGAGAGGCGTGATCAATTTAAGTCAGGTGCATATGTGGTTATTCTTAACGTGGTCATAGTTAGTTGTGACATAGACGAGACAGTTGACGCAGCTAGAGCACTTATTTCACTTCAGATCTTTACAATGTATGTCATCCAAGCGTGCAGTTGTATACATGTAAATAAGATGAGGTGAGGTGAAATTGGGTTTAACGCCGTGCTTGAGAAGATTCCGCTCATACGACGACGTGCATGCGTGTGTGTGTATGTGCGGCTGTTTGTACTAGCCCAGACTGAAGCTGGTTTTATAGTGCTAGCCCACTGAGATACCATGCCGCAGTGAAGCATGAATACCCCACTCAGACACAGTATACTGACTCCGAGCCGACCAGTCCTTGTTGTACCCATTAATGCCGAGCGCCAGACAGGGACCAACAAGTACCATATTTTTGGTATGACGCGGTCGGGGATCGAACCCGCGACCTTCCGCTCTCTGGGCGGACGCTCTTACCACTACACCAAGGAGGCGGTCGATTGGGTCACAGGGACTATAGAGATTGGGTCACAGGGGTTATAGAGATTTGGTCACAGGGGCTATAGAAATTGGGTCACTGGGGCAAAAGAGAGTCGGTTACAGGAACCATAGAGATTGGGTCACTGGGACTATAGTGATTGGGTCACTGTGACTATAGAGAGTCGGTCACAGGGACTATAGTAATTGGGGTCACAGTGACTATAGAGATTGGGTCACAGGGACTATAGTAATTGGGGTCACAGGGACTATAGCGATTGGGTCACAGGGAGTATAGAGACTGGGTCACAGGGGACGTTAGTAGTAGGCCACTGCTTCAGAGTCATAAGGTGCAAATGAGAAATGCCACGCCACGATCTACTGACCAAAACTCAGAAATTCGCACTTGGATAAATGAATTATATTGAAAATGGGTAAAACCAGCTATTCAATATGGGCGAATACCATAATAGCCAGGTCTAACCTGATGCATTCCCCCATACTGTGGTGAACCGCGTGGGGAGAAAACGAGAACCTGAACGTGTGTAGGGTCACGTCACCACAATTCCATGCGTCTAACCAACAACAGTTTACCTTAGAATAGCTAGAATAACAACAAACAATTAAACAAACAAAAACTTTTGTTAATTCTCTTCTTTTTGTTTTAAAGAGAACATTTCAGTCAGTTTTCAGGGGTATTTGTATGCATGGGTTATACTACTATAGCAAGGGGCGTATCCCATGCATCGATCGCCTGTGTATTTGTATGCATGTTGTTGGCAATATACCATGCTGGAACTTGCCAGTATACATCGTGTATATAAACAAATATGCATTCTTTCTTTGTGTGGAGGACATAATACCAGATAACAAATCCAACACATTTCACTAATTAAATAATTTCGGAAAATATCATTAACTCTTCTCTAGAAACCTGCGACAATGTGAGATGTGGCGCTGACCGGAAGTGTCGAGTGAGGCACGGACAGGCAAGATGTGTGTGCTCTCCACAGTGTCCTCGTCACCTAAAGCTGATGGGAGTTCTGTGTGGCTCTGATCAGCGCACTTACAAGCACTATTGTGCCATGCTTCGCCACAACTGTAAGCGCAACAAGGAGGTGAAACCTGCATACCTCGGACACTGTAAAGGTAGAGAGGAGATTTATTTTGTTGTTACAGAAATTAACAATTCATATATACTAACGGGTAAAAACATATATTGGTAGCTAACAATGAACAAAGGATAATGGTTATTCGGTGCTGGTGTACTTGGTACGGCTACAACAGTTGTGTTTTGGACCTCAAGTTTGCAGCGTTTCGGGAACTGTTTTCCGTCTGTCAGCTTTCCAGTGAATAGTCTTATTCCTAATGCCAGTGGGTCGAACTGTCCACAACGTCTAATGTTAACCAACTACACCTGCACCACCAACGTTTGTTTTGCACTGGATGTATTCCTGACATGGATGCTGACCATGCAAAACTAAACAAAATGGAATATGCATGTCACAATATCAAGCTCAAAATAGGGAGACGACGAAACACGAATGTATAAAATTATAAAAGAAAGATACATGTATACACAAACTAAGGCTGAAACTAGCCTTGGTATTGCTTGTTATTACACTCTACAGACAGTAATGTTTCATCGAGATGACCTCTTGTAAGCCAGTGATTGATATTATGAAAACGTCCCTTTCCGTAGGGTACAAAAGACATGGACCACCTGATCCATTCAATCCCCCAATAAGTACAACCCGTGAAGACCCGGGTAGGTCTTCAATGACCCATGCCTGTCGCAAGAGGTAACTAACGGGAGAGGGTGGTCAGACTCCCAGACTTGGTTGACACATGTTAATTTGCGTAGAACGATGCTCGTGATGTTGATCACTGGATTGTCTGGTCCAGACTCGATTATTTAAAGAATTTACAAAAGGGAATACTAGGAGAACATAGTTATTACCTATCTTAATATTACTGTAACTTCAGTATTTCTGCCATGTTTGTTTCAGAGTCGTGTCGCGGAGTCAAGTGCTTCAGACGTGGACATCACTGCCTTCAAGATCAGCACGGCCTGCCTCACTGCGTGCCCTGCAACACCTACTGCGGTAATGTCCCTTTCTACAGCCTGTGCGGGGAAGATGGTGTCACTTACCCCAGTCAGTGCCATCTAGTGGCAGCCATATGTATGAAAGGGGAGGCGATCCGAGTTGCATACACAGGACAATGCATTGGTAAATACGAACAATTTATTTAATCAACATATTACGTGAAGAATATGCTGTAGACACAATTGTCTGCAATCACAGCTTAAAAAGTTGTTTTCGTTACAAAACACACACTCTTAGAGTCTGGCACCTTTTTCGCCAGATCAGCCTAACTAAAGGACAAGAATCTGAACTTTACTGAGAAAGTGTAATCCCAATTATAACATTTCTTAGAAAAGCAAAGGAAGTTGCTTTCATGCACTCACCCTACGCCAATTCTTGTCTCCTCTTCGTTTACTGACAGGGCTATTCCACCTGAATGAGCACGTTCCGTTTGGCTGTGTTAATATAGTCATCTATGTTGGATTCAAGTGGCTTTAAGCCGTTCCTCACTCACAGGTGGATTGACCTGTTGTTCCATGCAATGTCTATATTGTCTATGCCATCATCAGGTTGGTTGACTTGTTGTATAACGTTCTTGGTTTACCTGTTGTTCTATGATTTCGTGTTGACCTGTTGTTCTATATAGCATTCCATATTAGGCGGGTTGACCTGTTCAATATAAGGCGGTTTGACCTGTTCCATACTTGGCGGGTTGACCTGTTACTCTGTATTGTCAGGTGGGGTGATCTTTTGTTCTGAATTGTCAGGTGGATTGACCTGTTGTTCTATATTGTCAGGTGGATTGACCTGTTGTTCTATATTGTCAGGTGGATTGACGTGTTGTTCTATATTGTCAGGTAGGTTGACTTGTTGTTCAATGTTATTAGATGGCTTGACCTGCGACACCCTGAAGTGCCCGGATGACAGACGGTGTCTGACGAACGCCACTTCCGGCCTGCCCCAGTGTGTCAGCTGCAAGGGCGCTTGTTCAGTATCTTCCAGAACAGAAGAGAATATCTTTGTGTGTGGCAGCGATGGACACACCTATAAAAGTTATTGCGCAATGCAGAGACGTGCATGTCGCACCGGGGTGGTCATCAAGACAGCGTATTATGGAAGATGTAAAGGTTTGTAGGATGCTCTCTTTCTGTGGGCAAGGGCGTAATAGTTGTTGCTTCACTGGAAAGTCTTGACATTCACTCACTCACTCATATTTTTTCGAAAACGTGAGAACTCAATTTTCGGACCATTTGTGAGAGACTTTTATTTTGCAATGATTTCGTTGAAGTGACGAATGTTTCCATCACTATGATGTCACATTAGGGGAGATTAGGTGAGGTGAATTGGGTTTAACGTCGCGCTGGAGAATATTTCGCACATATGATGACGTGCATACGTGTGTATGTGTAGGTGCGGCTGTTTGTACTAGCCCAGACTGAAGCTGGTTTTATAGCGTTAGCCAACTGAGATACCATGCCGCAGTGAAGCATGAATACCCCACTCAGACACATTATACTGACTCCGAGCCGACCAGTCCTTGTTGTACCCATTAATGCCGAGCGCCAGGCAGGGACCAACAAGTACCATAGTTTAACGTCTTTTGGTGTGACGTGGTCGGGGATCGAACCCGCGACCTTCCGCTCTCTGGGCGGACGCTGATGTCACATTAAGTCGCACAGAACTAAGGGTACGAGTTGCTGAGTAGAGGGAGAACATACGTCCAACTACTCATGTACAGTAGTTCAGTACAACCAGGAGCTTTCGTTACAAATTCAAAATCTCGTTCTGATAGTTTGAATAGTTCAGGTTATGTGCCTATAACCTAAAACCGCCAAGATTGGCTCCTGACGTCTGAGAATTGTTTTAACGGCATCTAGAAGTTGCTGAGTTAAAAAGAAACATACAACTTTATGGATGACAACTTCATATTTATTGCATACAGCGACGTTTCGATGTTGATTCTTACACCGCTGTCAAGCTTAATATGAAGTTGTCATCCATAAAGTTGCATATTTCATTTTGGGCGTCTGGGAATGTCGGTGCTTGGCGACTATGCAGATGGTGGTTCTCTGTATAACGAGGACCCGCTCCAGAAACCGACTTTAATAGCGCTACGACTGATCGTTATGGTGTCAACATATACTCTCCCAAAAAGGAAACGCATATAGGAATTTCAACTGTATTTTTATGTTTATTTTGAAACATCTTGTAGGTTTTATGAGTCAATGAAATATAGCGAAATTGCATACTGGGAATGCAGACTTATCCGTCTTTGGCACCAACTCGAGGAAAGTCAGTTTGAGTCTTACATGGAGACGTGCGGAGGCGCTGAAGTCAATACCTCGTGTGACCATCGTGGGCATCCAGAACTGCACGGCATTGCCTCGGCATCGAACGAATAAGTCTCAGAATCTCGTGTTGCCCAATCGCAGCCCACTCTGCCTGTAGTGCCTGTGCGAGTTGCTGAAGTGTCTGGGGCTGAGGGTTACGGCGTCGCACCCGTCTGTCCAGGGCATCACACAGATGTTCGTGCGGGTTTAAGTCCGATGATCATGAGGGCCAGGGGAGCACATTGATGTTGTGGCTCTGGAGGAAGTCTCTAGTGTGACGTGCTGTGTGGGGCCTGGCATTGTCCTGTTGAAACAACTCCCTCTGGCGAGCAATGATTGGAAGGAGGTGTGGGCGTAGGATTTCGTCACAGTACCGTTGAGCTGTCAAGTTGCCCTGGATCATCACCAAATCACTTCTCCTACGGCAGGTGATCGCTCCCCACATCATAACACTGCCCCGGCCGAATCTGTCCACCTGGGGAACGCAAGCGTCGGCGAAATGTTCACGTCGACGTCAGTACACCCGCATTCTGCCATCGCGTCGTTCTAATAGAAATTGTGATTCATCACTGAACCAGATTCTGCGCCAATTCGGTAGGTTCCAGGCCTGAACGTTGGTGCACCATTGAACTCGATGTCGACGATGTTGTTGTCGAAACACAGGGCCAAAATAAGGTCTTCTGGCACGTAAACCAGCCTCTCTCAACCTGTTCCTGGCGGTCTGTGCAGAAAGCCTCCTCAATCCGGGTATTTGTCGAGCGGTACTGGTCGCCGTAGCTGTTCGATGACGCAGGTGATGTACCCGGATGTAGCGATCCTGCGCCGCAGTGGTCGCTCGAGGTCGCCCACTACGAGGGGCATCTGCTACCGCATTCTGCCGGCGATATCTCTCCCAGAGCCGTGAAATGGTGCTTTCGTGAACATTCATGCGTCGGGCAACTGCACGTTGAGACTGGCCAGCTTCAAGCAAACCAATGGCGATATGACGGTTGGCTTCACTTAGACGTGGCATTTTGCGTTCGTCAACAATATTCCAAATACAGTGAATAATCGACAGACAGCGATCAACCTTTTATACCCATCATTGAGACTATCTGATCCTTAACTTCCACGTGCATTGCATGTGAATTGTGTATTCTGTGACACTACACGCCGCAATTGAAAATCATGCTGTTAAATACGGGTATTTTACGGATGGTGCGTTTTGTTGTGATGTTTCAAAACATAAACACCATAGGACTCATAAACAGAGCAAAACCTTTAGTAAAATGAATCACGTTTTAATCCATTGCTACATGAAATTGCTATTTTCACGATGCGTTTCTTTTTGGGGAGAGTATATATACGACACCGAGGCATTCACATCGTTTTGCGGACCAGGGCGTAGGTATTAAAGGATGACAATACACCACTGTCATTGGCCCAGATAATAAGTCAGTCATAAATCTCAAGTCAAGAAATCATTTCTGTGTAATTACAGTATATAATAACGAATAGGTCATTATACACCAGAAGGTGCAACATTGTGGGTACTGAAAGACTTGCGTCCTGGCACTCCTGTTGTACTTTTGTTGTACTTTTGTTTTTGTTTGTTTGTTTAACGCTGCACTCAGCAACATCCCTGCTGCATGGAGGCGGTATTTAAATAATCGAGTTGATATCATGAGCATTGATCTACGTACGCAATTGGGATATGATGACATGTGTCAACCAAGTCAGCGTGCATGGGCCACAGGCCCTCGTGTCTTTGCGAGGATTAAAGATTTTGAAAAATATAAAATATTTGAGATGACCCCCGAATTCGAAATGCTTCACAGTACAATACATTATGACAAGGCCGGACACTTCGGTGTACCCCACCCGCCCACAGGCCCTCGTGTCTTTGCGAGGATTAAAGATTTTGAAAAAACTTATAAAATTTGAGATGATTTCGACTCGAAATGCTTCACATTACAATTCATTATGTATTGTACTGTGAAGCATTTCGAGTCTGGGGTCATCTCAAAAAATAATGTTTTAATCTTTAATCTTCACAAAGACACGAGAGCCTGTGGCTTGGGCATCTGATCCTTCTTGGTGAGTTGATGAAGACCAATTCTAACCCGGATGTTCATGGGTTCGTCTTGTATTCACTGCTGTATGTGGAACATGGTTGCTGGGTTGTACAGATATTTAGATAGAGATACAGTACAAACTCGATAATCCGGACCTCGTTTAACCGGCCGAATCCCGTTGTATGTATTATAAAGACATTATAAAAATGCAGTGTGTTCACCTCACTTCGTAACATTGACGTATACTTTCCACGTTATTCTCTTTTCTTGCAGAGACTTGAGTCGACATGATTTCAGTCCGATGTGGCCTGTTGTTAAAACTGCGCCATTATCAACTGGTGTGTGTAGTGATGGACGGGAAAGTGCAATATGACGGCAGATGCACCTCTAAAGCAGTGCGGTTCAACTGGAGTTCTGTGTTGGCTAACGAACAGCGTCATACGCAACACTCCATAGACTTTCTGTTAAAGTCTTCTGATAGACAGATCCCAGCTGCAGTCTCTCACGGAGTGATGGGTGGTGTATATTTCAACTATTCAAGGAAACATTCGCCTGTGCTCCATGTACATGTATATATACTTTTGGTTGCCGGTCTTGGTAGCTGATTTGTGTATGAATATGGGCGATTTTGGTGTGTTATAACGCCTTTATGCTTTCAGACATTTTCTGCACGAGGTCAGTTACCAAAGTGTACATGACGTGAGCATAGTGTAACATATCACAGAGGAATAATCTTCACTCGCATGTTTATTTGAGTATAATTAAGTTTATTTTATATTTAAGTAAGCTAATATGGGCAAAATTACGAGTTGGTGAATAACTACTAGTATTGGGTTACCGCAGAAATGTCTCTTCCGTAGGGGAATCAGACTTAGAAAAGCACAATACCATGTTCATCGTATTGAAATAATTGTGGCAGATATGTGTATTTGTATACCTCCTAATCATCTCAACACGCTGACAATCACACGTCGACCTGCACTGCTGTAGTAATCCGGTCACGCCACACAGCCACCTCTCCCAGATGGAACGCTCATATTTCGTGTGTCCAGTGGATGATGTGAAGCAACGTATATACATCACGCGTGTCTGGAAATCATATGCATACGCCTGTCTACATCAACCAGATGAATGAGATTGCCAACCCCGTTTAGGTAACTCCACGGCGGACCCCGACACCTGCAGTGGTATTTGGGATAAAGCTGTACAGAGCGGTGGAAGCCATCTCATACACAGTTGCCAATGTTTTAGTATTGAAAGTCATTGTTGTCTTTTTTTACAGAGCTAAGCCCATGTCGTGCATTCTAAATTGTGGGGCAAGTAAGTCTACACTTGAACATTGGACAAAACATTCCGAACATTATCAAAAAAGTTACTCAGCTGAAAAAACTAGAGGTCACGATACACATCTTTGATACCCGTATAAAGCCCTCATCAACTGTCGGGCAGTTAAAAATGCTTATTGCCGGTTACATGTACTTGTACCTGTTGAATGTGGAGGGACACGGGTGTGTTTTGGCGTTACACACGTAGCGTGGGGGTTTCTTGGTTCCTCTACACGATTACTCTCCAGCATCACACTAACGTAAAACAAGCGGGTGTCTTGTTGACAGGGTAATGAATGCTAAATCTGGAACTCCAGGGCAAGCATGAGCATCTGTTCACCTCAAACCGCACCCATGAGGATTCCCAAGCCGAGTAATGGATGCACCCAGGGTAGATGATAGTGTGTTGTACCCGTGGATAGCTGCTCATGCAACGGGCTTGTCTGAACACCGGTTCTGTTACATATAGGCTGTCATTATATAGCTGGAACAATGCTGATTTCAGTGTAAGGAATATTGCTCACATCGGGTTAGAATGTTACACTATTCACTCACCCACCTTTTTGACGGACTGACCATACAAAGCGATCTCACGTCAGGAAATGAGCAAAAATGACCCATCTCTGTGACACACTTAGCATTTCATTTAAATCTGGGTACATTTAACCAGCATGCACGGGAAGTGTTCACAACTGTATGTTATGTTGTTGTTTTTCGAATTTTGACATATGAGCTGCTCATCGATTCAGTGTTATATATATATTACATGTATATTGTATTTCAAATGTCGAAATGACTTGTACTGGTTTATTATTTACTGAAGGATTCATAAATTATTCACACTGTACAATGTGGTTGTATTGTTTGTTTCAGTGACAGGTCATTTATTATCGAAACTATACACGCACGCACGCACGCATGTTTTCTAGAAAACATACATAGATCCTTATGGGAACTGCTCGATTAGCATGTACTGTTCTAGAATATTTCACAATTATATATATTAACTTCCACACCAGCTGTGCTGACATTAGATAGTAATAAATTCTTGACAACTAACTATTGGCAAAACACAATGTTATGAACCCCAATTGAATGTTAGCGCTAGGACGATGGTATCTCGATACCTTGTCAGAGAAGCATCCATACTGAGGAGGCCACGGTACGTGAATAAGTAGTATATAACATATGTTATACACTGTAATTCATTACATGATAAATCTGCATTAGATAAATTTATGGAAAGTAAAACAAATCGAGTTGATTAACAGAGATGTGAATTTATAGATATTTAGTGTAACAGTGTAGGAGATGGAAACTGGTCACCGAGTAGAATGGCAGTCGTCAACAGAGTAATTCACGCACAGGGGTTCGAATCACTGTTTTGACAATGATTTTTTTTTTTAAAATAAAAAATCTATATTTTTGCAACCGTATATTGTTTTTATATGTTATGAGTAACTTATGTTTCAAATTTGAACGAAATCGGTGAAGAAATGGATTTTTTAGAAAATTCTCCCTCTACACTCATTTTATGTAATGAGTCATAACATATAAAAACAATATACGGTTGCAAAAAAATAGATTTTTTATTTTAAAAAATCATTGCCAAAACAGTGATTCGAACCCCTGTGATTTCACGAGCGTACGTCTCAAGTACGTTTCACTGTGTATGTCATTAGTTTTTCAACAAAATCATCACGTTATAGCGACGAATCAACTGTGAAATACAAGCCATGCGAGTCTGTTATGGCTGTGGTTTTTTGACAAAACTATCTCATCGTCAAAATAATGTCATTCACAGCATGTTCTTCACGCCACACAGCATAGTGGGTGTAGTTCGTCCGCCATCAACATTTCGTCCGCTATCAACATCACTAATTCGTCCTTCTGTACAAGTATAGGTATGTAGTTAGATGTGTACTGTCTGAAGGTATGCAATGTGTCGACATTACTATATATCAACTTGCAACTAATACAGTTACTGATGCACACACACCATGGATACTATGGTGATTTGTTCCCGATTTTAACACTTACAACTGCAAACCAAACCAGTCTTAGAACCACGAATGTAGCAAATATATGTGAAGGTATGTAACATACATACTAATAATCCTTAGCCTTAAATGTTATTAAATATTTGTCAGTGGAGTGTCATTCACGTTACCTTTCAATATATACATGCAATCAGGCGACATGATTTCAGCGCGGGTAACTATGGCAACGGGAACGTGACAGTGACCCTCGCAGCAGGTTTGTATTTCATTCAACATCAAATCTTAAGAGCACGGTTCCAAATCCAAAATACACAGGCATCGACGCCACAATGAGACGACCTCAAATTTCAAAACAGTGGGTCTATCTCCTAACGTGAAAACAAAAACACAATGCTAACGAAGGCAGTGTATAGAATTATGTAAACCTCTACATTCAAACTGAAGTGACTGAAGAGCGCTGTTTGAGGATTATCTAGTTTACAAAATATACTCTCAAACATATACCAGGGAATCTTTCTGAACCATCATTATTGTTGATTTTCACAATCCATAGTGATAGTTTGCTATAAAGCTGGACCTTGATTTTCTCTTAGCGCTAAGATAGTCGTAAGTGCCATACATTGACATTAACTTACGACTATCTTAACGCAAAGAGAGCTTCGAAAATCTAGGACCAGTACTTGTGCTCATATTTGGAATGTTTCGCCTTATATACATGCTCGGCGGGACCCGTGAAGACCCGGGTTAGAATTGATCTTCAGTAACCCATGCTTGTCGTAAGAGGCGACTGACGGATTCGTGTGGTCAGGCTCGCTGACTTGGTTGACCAAGTCATCGGTTCCCAAATGCGTAGATCGATGCTCATGCTCACTACAGACCGCATCCATATAGCTGGAACGTGCTTCATTTATGGCGTTCGCATTGCAGGGAGGGGTATAGGCAGTAGGGAAATGATGTGGTTCAGGGACTGTGAGACAGAACATGGAAGAAGGGTCAATGGGCAGAACGGCCGATACAGTATATTGGCGCCAATAGAACTTGCGCCGTTTGCGCGACATGCTGGACCACTCTTTGGCTCTTAACATGATAACGTTTGTGCTCACCGTGAACGTATCGTAACTGACTGTCTTGAAGTTCAACAGCAAAACATCGCCATAATGCACTAGCCAGTCATGAATCCTGATCAAAAGAGCTCGTGGAGGACACTGTACACCGACTTCAAAAGCCGCTCACAACGTAAGACGAATTGGTCAGGTGCTGCAAGAGGGGTGGTCGAAATCCCTCAAACTGTCATTGGGACAATGATTGGAACCACCACCTGCTGTTTTTGTATGTATGTAAGAAACGAATATTTTATGTCCGTTTCCTGTTCGTGGCCGGTTTCATCGATGGCTTCGAAGTTTCAAAGAGGGCCATACAAACGATTCTATCCTAAAACCTGTTTGATGGGGTCGTGGCATTCAAGGCATCAATAGGAAAGGTGTTTCATAGGGGTGCCAGTCATATCGCCCCAGCCAATTTGGTCAAAATGCCCCAGATTTTTTGTCAAATCGCCCCAGGTTTGGTCAAATTGCCCCAGGGGGGTAGTCAAAATGCCCCAGTGTATTTAAAATAATTAAATATATGCCATAAATGCATAGTTTTTGTTAACTTCCATATTATATACTTCGTATAATAATATATATTAATATTTCTGATAGATTTTCTATTAGTAAACTCATAAGACCAAAAGTAATATTCATGTATAGACAACACTGTAATACTAATTATTTGGTAAAGAATTACAAGAGTAAAATGAAAGGTTTGTATAATATGTTTATTGGCTGTAAATAGTTTTTGGTCAACAAATGGCATTATGTAATCATAACTAGTATGGTATAATATTTATTATTTAAACATATTTATTTCCAAAGAAAGGAACCGGATTGGTAAACAAGCATAAGCTTATATGAATACCGCTCTGGGATACAATGGAAGGAAGAATAAACTCGTCATGATGAATGGACAATGTGAATGATATATAAATGCTGCAGAAACGAGAAATAACGCCAATCATTGTTAAACGGTATATGTCATATAAACAAAATATTTTGGATCAAATCTGCCTGTTAAATTTATAAAAGAGTGCACTGAAATTAAAAGTTCTTTGTTTACTATTGAGGAACAGCGTTGGTTTCCAAACAAAATTGATTTTAGGTCAAATCCTTTAGTATAAAAAAACATAATTTGACGTATATCGTTGTAAAGAGTACATGAAAAGAAATAATGAGCAGAGTCTTCATAGTTATGGCCACAAGAGCAAGATGATGTTGGAGATATAAATCTTTCATACTTGTGCGCATTAAGGTCACTACATTCAAGTTCGAGACGAGAATGTATGATTAGACAAAATCTGCTACCGAAATTTAAGTCAAAATGACTGTAGATATTAAAATCGTTCAAAATTACATTTTTGAATCTCGATAGGTGATGGTCAATTAGTGAATATGTTTTTATAGCCTGAAATGCTCATACATTCGAGCCTCAACATTTCCTTTAACTAAACACAGCATTGAATGTCAATTAGTGAACATGTTTTAATTAACAAAAGCTCGATTGTTTTGATTAGCATTATACCATACTTGTTGAGAAACCTATGCATTTACGGCCAATAAACCTTTTATACAAACATTTCATTTTATTCTTGTAATTCTTTACAAAAGCATTAATAACATGCAAATAAATGGTATGATAGTGTTGTTTATACATGAATATTACTATTTAAATACATTGGGGCATTTTGACTACCCCCCTGGGGCAATTTGACCAAACCTGGGGCGATTTGACCAAAAATCTGGGGCATTTTGACCAAATTGGCTGGGGCGTTTTGTAGCTGGGGCGATTTGACTGGCACCCGTTTCATAGTCCACAAGTGGAGAACATAATCCAAGAGTGACCATAATGATGTCCGATTTAATTATTATTTTGACAAGCCATAATTTCCCGTGTTTTTCCTGTTAATATTTAACTTAGTTGCCTTAGATGTGCTTGTGTTTACTGCTACTGGTGGGACAGGGTACGCTCAGCTTTTCGCGAATACCGGCCTTTAATTGAGAACGCTTTTACGTGCGTTTCAGTAGCTTGTAGTGTCTTGGAAAGAGTTACACCCCTTTAGTAACATTCAAAATGGCTGCTTCTATAGGATTGCGAGTGGCCAGCCGTCTAGCAACAGCTAGTAGGAACGTAATTCCAAGGTATATTGTGTATACACAACTCTCGGAAATGCCACACACGATGACTGTTCCAATGTAGTGTACAGCGCAGTGCTAGATGAAAAGTGCGTGCGTGTACTCGCAAGATTCTTACCCCGTCCTTGATAACCTTCAAGATCAGTTCCGATCAAATCAAAACATTGCCTTCAAGATGGAATAAACCATTTGAAGATTTGTGCATGGTTCGGAAAAGAAAAATCATTTTGGTTTCTACATTACAGTAGCTTGATTTTTTAATTGCTTAACCTGACAATTGAAGAAACAAAGATATTTGCTTCATGAAAATACTGGGTGCCAGCCAAATCGACCCAGCTACAAAATGCCCCAGCAAATTTGGCCAAAATTATCTGGAGTTTTTGTCAAATTGCCTCAGGGGGAAGTCAAAATGCCCCAATTTATTTAAAATGATTAAATATGTGCCATAAATGCATAGTTCTTGTCAACTTCGACATTATAGGCTCCATGTAATATTACATAGTAATATTTCTGATAAAATGTTCTATTAGTAAACTGATAAAGCAAAAGTAATATTCATGTATAGACAACACTGTAATACCAATTATTTGCATGTTATTAATGCTTTTGTAAAGAATAAAATGAAATGTTTGTATATGTTTATTGGCCGTAAATGGATATTTTTTTGTCTACAAATGGCATTGTGTAATCATAACAAGTATGGTATAATATTTATCAAAACAATCTAGAGCTTTGTCAACTGGGATATTATAATCCTCATATAGAAGTTATAAGTAATGACAAGTCTTTCTTTCAGTTTTAACTTTTTAACTTCCTTCTGTATGGCGCGATGGTCCATGAAAGCGGCTCACTTTTGACAGAAGCAGGTGAACTGAAAAACAGTGGAATTTGGCACCCAAAATAATAATGCGCATTGACGTTGTCTTAACTTGTTTAATTTAACTGGGTACAATGTGTGAAGCCCATTTCTGGTGTTCCCCACCGTGATGTTGCTGGAATATTGCTAAAAGCGGCGTAAAACCAAACTCAGTCGGTCAGTCAGTCAGTTTAATTTAACCTCATAATTCACTTGTGTTACTGTCTTCACAGGTACTATGCTTCTGGACGGCCAGGGGATAATTTGACAACAGCAACAAAGCCCCGTGAACAAGATGACAATCAGTCACATCAAGTGCAGACCATCACTGTCAGTGACAAGGTAATGTCATATGATCCTACAAGTGGCGTATGATGTTTGCCTTAACTACTCAAATGTTAGTTTTTTTTGTAAATTACTTCATGCTGTTTAATGACTTTATCTATGAGCATGCTTTTTCTAAGACCAAACTGATCAATCAAATTAATCAGATTGTTGATGGCCATTCAGTATACTGTAGCTGTTACTAATACTATATCGGTCACTAAATTGTTTTACATATAACCATCATATAGCGTGAATATTGTAAAGTGGGATGTTAAACAACAAACAAATAAATGATGTATCACAGTAGCCTTAACTCTAAACCTGTATGGGTTGTGGGGAACCCCAGTAGTTACACTGTTCACTTCTATACAAACTGGGATCATGGCACAAGTGTATACATGTATTTATTTTGCAAAAGGTCAACTGAAAATGACCAGAAAATAATATAGCAAGCTAGTAATTACTGTCGTTATAGTTCACTTAACAATTGAGTTTTGGCACAGACTGGTGAAATGAAGTTAGGTTGTCACAAATCATATGCCCTATAGCCCTTCTGCTGTTGATGTTGAACTGAGAATCATGCTGTCTGAACAAAACAGGTAACTTGACACTGGTGTTTGTGTATTCAGGTTGACATCACACCTCTGACTGGTGTCCCAGAGGAGCACATCACCACGAGGCGAGTGCGTATCTTCGTACCTGCAAGGAATGCCATGCAGTCAGGATCTTATGGTACTCGCAGGTGGAGGATTGAGTTTGATCAGAGGGAGAGATGGGAAAACCCACTCATGGGTTGGGTGTCAACGTGAGTATCATGTTCTAATACTTCAACAGGATCAAAAACTAGAAAAAGAATACAGTCAACTCTCGTTAATCCGACACTTGTGGTTGCAGAGAAATATGTCGGATTAACGAAAATGTCGGATTAATGAAAATGTCGGATTAATGTATTTGTGTGAAAATATCAATGTTTACTAAATGTCATGATCGTCATACTGTTGCATGCATATCAGAAATGGTAGATCTAGTTATCTTTATCGTATGTAAAAATATTCACAGAAATAAGAAATACTAACAATACATACTTGTTTTCATTTATTAACATTCATAGATGGCATAACATACATATATAATCACATGTTTTAACAGTTTCATATCTATTTCATGACCACATTGGCACAAAACTCACATTTGTTTTACCGCATATCAGCTGCCATTATGACCGGATGTTGAATATGTTACAGTTTCCATACAACTAATTCCATAATAACATGTGGACGCCTAATGTACAATCAAGTGTATCATAACATATATAATTTATAACTTGAAAAAGTCTTTGATGGTCATTAACATCAAACACGCGTCTAAGTGGTGTGTCAGAAATGTTTGCAAAATGTTCAACGATGTTTTGGCCTCAGATAGCTTGAAGCATTGGAATCAGTCGTAGAGACGCTCAACCACTAAGCAGACCGCTTCAGGATGTCAGATACGGTTGATCGTCAATCTTCACATCAAACTTCTGCTCAGCAAAGTGATGACTTCTTGTTGTGCTGTCTGGGGTTTGTCTTTCTTCAAAAGGAGATTTCTTTCTTGATCAATGGCGTGACTTCTACAAGGGGTCGCTTAGCAGCTGGTGTACTTTCGTGACAGACATCTTGTGATGAAAACTCATGTCGGTTGTAAACATTTTATACTGCTCGGCTCTACTGTTATTTCTTGATTAAATCGCCTCAATTAATTATCCTGTGTTCCTAATTAACAAGTGTGATGTTCACTGACGTGGGTGTTAAGCAGCCAGTAAGGCACGCGCTAATCACCTTTCATGTGTGATGTTTGTATACGGTCGGATCATCCGACCGGCTGTGTTGATTGTCGGATTAACGAATGTTTTTACAATGTATTTACAATGATCGGTTGCTAGATTGGTGTGTCGGAGTCGGAATGCGAGAATGTCGGATTAACGAGAGTAATTATCACTGTTTTAAATGGTTCCCTAATTTTTTGTCGGATTAACGTGAGTGTCGGATTAATGAGTGTCGGATTAACGAGAGCTGACTGTATACTGATAATTAGTGTCATGTAAAAATTTTACTAAAAAAGGAACATGTATAAATGTGTTAACATATGAAATTTCCTATTCTTGATATGCATGTTAAGATGCAGATATTACAAAGGTATTCACAGTCAGGTTCATCATGATATATGATGTTACTTGCAGGAGGATGATAAAATATGATGTTACATGTAGGAGCATGATAAAATATGATGTTACATGCAGGAGGATGATAAAATATGATGTTACATGCAGGAGGATGATAAAATATGATGTTACATGTAGGAGCATGATAAAATATGATGTTACATGCAGGAGGATGATAAAATATGATGTTACATGCAGGAGCATGATAAAATATGATGTTACATGCAGGAGGATGATGCAGGAAAATATGATGTTACATGCAGGAGCATGATAAAATATGATGTTACATGCAGGAGCATGATAAAATATGATGTTACATGCAGGAGGATGATAAAATATGATGTTACATGCAGGAGCATGATAAAATATGATGTTACATGTAGGAGAATGATAAAAATAAGATGTTACATGTAGGAGCATGATAAAATATGATGTTAGATGTCTTCATGTAATATTTTTATCCTAGCCCTATGTTGGTTGATTTTGTTATTCTTTTGCAGAGCGGATCCACTCTCAACAATGAATGTAGATTTCAGTTCCCAGGAGGAAGCCATGGACTTCTGTGAGAAAAAATGGTGAGTGTTTTTTTGTGCATAGTCAGTTACGGGTTGATCCTACTTAAGGAGGGAATATAGAGAGAATTCATCACAATTCACATTCATTGTAATTTGAGGAATATGAACTGAGCCCTGGCAATTTCTGAACCTGAGACTGATCACATAGATGATGAGTGTTTTGTTGGAACATTATTGTCATTCAGATTTAGTATATGGTGTGTACATGCATTAGATTTGTTACTACATGTTAGTCATTTAGGGTTCTAGATCCTAGCTGCATTACAAATGCTTTTCATAGATAGTAGTAGATAGTTTGATTCCCTTCCTTCTGCTAAACCATTGTAAGCAATATTGTAACATGCCAAATGTATGATGTCAGTCATCATTCATTGAGAAATTGGTCATGGGCATATTATATCAACAGCTTCCCTGCTGTTATACATTAGATTGAGTCATTGAGAGTCAGCTGCAAGTAAAATAGCATTCATATATTGGCATTTGGTAACGTTTACAGCAACACTGTTATCGTGACATGTAATGGCAACACTGTATAAAGTGCTGTCTACAATGTCATCAAACTCCAGTTCATGTGCACTTGTGAGTAAACTGCAGTTTCCTGTTATCATATTTTATGTTTTCCTGTGAAAGGACGATATGGCTGAAATATTGCCGATGTGACTTTAAATTTTAACTCACTCTACTCCTGTGAAAGGCTGATGTTGTGGATCAATGTGCTTTAGTGAAGTGGTCATAACATGTCGGTTGAGTGTAACTGAGGCATTTTCACCATATTCATGATATGCATCATAAAATTGTAGTTCATAGACAATCAGGGTTTGGTCAACATAAATAATGCATATAGCTAGGACTGCCAGTTTTATCTAGATCCCCAATTATAGAGGCTGCCAGTTCTCTTTGAGGTATGCACAATTTATGGTCTTTGTAGAGGGCAACCAGGATCTAGCAAATCATGCTGTATGTACATATTTCCTTCACATATACTTTTTTGATGTAATTTTCAGTAATTTATCTTAAACTTATTCCCTCTTCCCATTGCTTTTGAAAATTTGTGATATCCAGGATTCAAGAGTTGGCAGTGAGAATTGTTGAAAAATGACATCATTTTAAGTGTCACAGGAGGGATGGAGTCGGGACTGACAACCTCATTAAAATACTTCGTGAAAGTGTGAGTTATCAGTAGATGTTAACAATGTCACGCTTATCCATTATGTTTCTTTGTTTAAGGTTGGGAATATTTCATTGAAGAGGAACACTTACCCACCTTCAAGAGAAAATCATATGGTGCCAACTTCTCTTGGAACAAGAAGACTCGTGGTGTCTACCAAATAATGAATCTGTCAGTTAGTGAAACTTTTGGGCAACCTCCGCTCATTTCTCCTCAGTTATGGTATTACTAGCTTTTGTATGTTTGTGGCTGACTAGTCAGCTCCAGTATAAACGGCAGTTACTGAGCCTGGTTGATGACCAATGACAATTGTTGCCAGTTTCATCTGATGGGATCTTGTGTAAATATGAACCATGATTATCTGTATGTGAGTGGCTGTAGCTGCCAGTGAATTAAATATCTAATGGAGAACTGTGTTGTCATGTTCAGAAAGAGATACACCTGCTTTTGTTGTCTTTCCTGATTGTTGACCCCACGAATGTAGTGGCCAAACTGTGCTGCATAATCCTATACTAGCCTGTTATTCATTCATATATACCTGTAGGTGTTTCAAGGTAGGCCTCCTCACTTGTCGATACTTGTGGCACTGCTTGACACATGTTTCTTGGTACTTTACAAGCACATCAACACTTCGCTAACTTCTCCATGCCTGATTTATGTATTCTCAGAAGTAAGCTTTGTAGCTTTGTAGGGTTGTAGCTTTCAACCAGTCAGTGTGTATCTTGCATGGCTGATTAATTTGATTGCATTCAATAGCATCATGCATTCACTTTAAGCATTTGATTTTTGATTATTTGCAAACTTGATGGTTTGAGGATTATACTCCACTAGGTATTATTTGAGAATCCATCTCATGGCTATGTCTAGTTGCCCACAGAAGACATACCGTTTTGTAGACAGTAGTTTTGTTAGATTTGGTGTGTTTGTTGTTAACGCCTCACACCGAAAGCAATATTTCAGCTTATATGGCCGATCTGTAAATACATGAATCTGGACCAGAGAATTCAGTGACCGACAGCATGAGCATTGATCTACAGAATTGGGTTACTATGTATCAACCAAGTCAGCGAGCCTGACCACAACCAGTGAGTCACCTTTTAAGACAAACATGGGTTGCTGAAGACCAGTTCTAAGCCGGATGTAGTTTGTTTAACTCCATCAGATTCCAGGTTTTAAGACACTTATAAAACTGGTAAAATTTAAGTAAAAATGTTTGTACAGGGGTAGACACTACTTGTCATATTCAACTGATCCATTGCTCATTTCGACCTGTTGTAAACTTCAAGACTTGCCCTTCAACCTTCACTTCACTTGTCTCAGGCAAACAGACCAGCAGCCATTTCAAATTTCACTTTGTCTCATGCAAACAGACCAGTGGCTATTTCCAAATTTCAAATTTCACTTGTCTTGACAGGTGGACCAGTGGCCATGTCTATTACTGCCATTTATTTCACTCACGTTATAGGCCAATTGGTCTGTGTAGTGTTATGTATTTATTTAGAAAATTGTACTAATCAAGGCGATCTTATTACGGGCCAAGTAACCTTCTTTTTTCAACCTGTTGAGCAAAGGTTGAGAAACTACTCAACACAACATATGCCAAAGTGGTTTGGTAACAGTTCCTCTTGAACAGCACTACAAACGATTCACAGTGTTACACCTGTAGGTTTGGTGTGATACTCAAAACAGTTGTTGCTATTCACTAACGTGTCTGACCAACGCATGGTTGGTAACATGAAGCGCATGTAAAATCTAAGCAAACACGGTTCCATTGTTCTCGATTCGATGGCTTGGTGACACCAATATGCCTCCTCATTGTTAATCCCATCTCAATTTACACGGAATGAACGCTTGAGCGCGTTGCTAGCATGGTGTTATTGTAAGAAGAGCCGCACTGAACAAGGAAGAAGAATCACTTTGAACACAAAGGAAGTGTGGATCCAGGAAGATATATCTTGAGTCGTGCAAGAACAAATAGGTCATGTTTCTTTAAATGTCTCATGGTTTATTGAAATAATGAATCGATAATGCACTGTTTTACACCGAATAACGAATATCAATGTCAGACCTCACATCCATGCTACATTCAGATACATAAACGCCCTTTAACTGGACAGTTTAAACTGTCACACGCATACACCCAGGCCCTTAACTAGACAGCTTTAAAGGCTTGCTTTTACACACGCATACATCTAAGCTTTAACTAGGCAGTTGAAACTTTCACACGCATACATCAAAGCTTTACCTAGACGGCTGAAACTTTCACACGCATACATCAAAGCTTTAACTAGGACGGCTGAAACTTTCACACGCATACATCAAAGCTTTACCTAGACGGCTGAAACTTTCACACGCATACATCAAAGCTTTAACTAGACGGCTGAAACTCTCACACGCATACATCAAAGCCTTTACCTAGACGGCTGAAACTTTCACACGCATACATCAAAGCTTTACCTAGACGGCTGAAACTTTCACACGCATACATCAAAGCTTTAACTAGACGGCTGAAACTCACACGCATACATCAAAGCTTTAACTAGACGGCTGAAACTTTCACACGCATACATCAAAGCTTTACCTAGACGGCTGAAACTTTCACACGCATACATCAAAGCTTTACCTAGACGGCTGAAACTTTCACACGCATACATCAAAGCTTTACCTTAGACGGCTGAAACTTTCACACGCATACATCAAAGCTTTAACTAGACGGCTGAAACTCTCACGCATACATCCAGGCCCTTTAACTAGACAGTTGAAGCTTCACACGCATACATCAACGCCCTTAACTAGACGGCTGAAACTCACACGCATACATCCACGCCCTTAACTAGACGGTTGAAACTCTCACGCATACATCCACGCCCTTAACTAGACAGTCGAAACTCTCACGCATGCATCCACGTCCTTAACTAGACAGTTGAAACTCACACGCATACATCCACGCCCTTAACTAGACAGTTGAAACTCACACGCATACATCCAAGCCCTTAACTAGACAGATGAAACTCCTCACACGCATACATCCACGCCCTTAACTAGACAGTTGAAACTCACACGCACACATCCAAGCCCTTAACTAGACGGCTGAAACTCTCACACGCATACATCCACGCCCTTAACTAGACAGTTGAAACTCACACGCACACATCCACGCCCTTAACTAGACAGTTGAATCTTTCACACGCATACATCAACATTCACCTACAGATACATCCATGCCTGGTCAGCTGAAACAAACACGCACACACCCACGCCACTAACGTGACAGTTGAAACCCACACACGCATAATCCACGCCTCAAACCCGACGCCTGTACATGTATTGTTTAGGATGATCTGACCTAAGTGTTTCAGCATGTAGCGACCAAAACACATACCACGAACTTCCGCTGATGATACCACTTTCCCTTCTCGCAAGGATACCTTCTTTCTTAAAAAGTTTCACAGGGGAATAGTTATAGTATGACCAGAAATTATTGAGAATTTTAGGAATATGTTTAATTGGATTTCTAGTGTAAACAACCTTGACCAGCTATCAGGAGCTTGGTTTCTTTCAAGAGAGACAACTCCGTTATATCCTTTTCATTAGTTTGTGAAGAGTTATCCTCCTTTGTTTACTTGCTAGCAGACGACATTTTCAGTGATTCTCAGTATGGATGATTTAGAGAAGAGGAAGTTGATTTTAGAGTATTATAACAAGGACATCAGATCAGCTAAAGTGATTTCAAGTAGAACAGGCATCCCTTTGTCCACTGTTTATCGTGTTTTAAAAATATTGCAAATGGATATGGCATTGAGCACCAGGGAGGCGCAGGTAGGCCCAGAAAATTGACTGTCGGTGACAGGAGGCGGCTTGGTATTCTTGTTTCTAAAATCAAACGAAGGAGTTTAGAAAGCTTAAGGCTGGATATGATTGATAGAGGAACTGTGGCTGTCTGTAAGGAGACAATTAGAACTGAGCTGCATGCAATGGGTTGGCAGAAAAGTCGAGGAATTCCATCACCGATCATGAAACCTGAACAAAAGGAGCGAAGGTTGAACTGGTGCTTACAGCATAGACATTTTAACTGGGACAATGTGATTTTCTCAGATGAAAGTTCTGTGTGGATGTTTCCTAATACACTGAAATTCTGGACCAAACAAACTGAAAAACCTTTGTATCAGCGCCCAAAGTACAGTCCGAAATTTAACGTGTGGGTGGCATATTCTGTGTTAGGGGCAACGCCCTCTGTGTATTTGGAGGGAATATGAACAGTGAGCAGTACACAGATATTGATCTGGAGGGACATTTACTTCCATCTGCTCATGTGTTCTATGGAATTTTTGGATTTTCCAGCAGGACAACGACCCAAAACATCGTTCAAAGCATTCACAGGCCTGGTTTCGGACCCAAAATATGACATTATTAGATTGGCCAAGCTATAGCCCTGACTTAAATCCAATAGAAAATGTTTGGGGACTTATGAAGGAAAGTGTCAATAAGAAAAATCTGACAAATATTGCTGAAATGAAAGAAGAGGTGGTCCGATATTGGGACAGCATGGACCACGACTTTCTAACTTCTTTGATCAGTAGTATGCCCTGCCGCATTGAAGCCTGCATTGCTGCCCATGGTGACTTGACAAAATACTAACTGTTCACCTGTCTTTGAATCGGGAGTTATGTTCTGCTAATATTCACATTTAATACGTGAGTAAATGAGTGAAAAAATATAAAAATTTACAATCTTTAAATTCTCAATAATTTCTGGTTGTACTGTAGTATACAGCTTCAGCATAAATATTCTAGGAAACTAGTTGTGACGCAGCACATCGAATTGTAACAAATCATATACTATGTCTTTATGCAACTGAAGTCTGTTGCTGTAAGATATATCGATGTTCTTGGCCCACAACTCCTGGACATCGAGAATATATAGTTGATCATGGGTGATTACAACATACCGAGGACTTTAGAAAAGATGTCATACAACAGGCTGTCCTTTAGCTCACGCCCACGGTTACTGTATCTAACCCGCTTTGATTGAAACTCTGATGGTGTTTTGGTGACGTTATTGATTTACTGGGCATGATTTCATGAGTGTATAATATGTTTTGTGTGATAAATACTTGAAATGCTCTAAGTATTTCTACGTTTTGGGTATCCAGTGAAGATCATGCGTGTATAATATGTTTTGTGTGATAAATACTTGAGATGTTCTAAGTATTTCCAAGTTTTGGGTATCCAGTGTAGATCATGCGTGTATAATATTTTTGTGTGATAGTCACTTTGAAATGCTCTAAGTATTTCCAAGGTTTGGGTATCCAGTGTAGATCATGCGTGTATAATATGTTTTGTGTGATAAATACTTGAAATGCTCTAAGTATTTCCAAGTTTTGGGTATCCAGTGTAGATCATGCGTGTATAAAAGCTAACGAAATATTGTTGACTG